GACCAATAAATTGTTCATTTTGATTGGGTTTGACATGATTTACACTTGGGATGGTCATATTAAAGTTTGAGTATAGGTAATTATCTTCAACAAAGTGATAAATGGAATTGTACAATTGCAGCAACCAAACAATTTAGGCATGTGGTCCTAGTTGGTACTGTCAATTGTCATGCTTGAAAGAAGCTTTAATCTAAAAACTAAAAGACAGAATGAAGAAGATAATAAGTCACTGTCTTGTTCCCTTTTGCAGGCGACAAACTATTCATATTATCTGTGATCTTCTTTTCCTTATTCTTGCAAATTAAATTTCATAATTTGAACCTACTGGTGCCAAAAGAAAAGAAATAGATTCATAGATAAGTTTAGGGAGCCTGCCTTTTCGTCTTGCTTCCTTTTAGTTTTTTTTTCTACAAAAGAACGACACCTTGAGCGGTCTTATATCCATGTAAATGTCATGACATATTAAATAGAAAGAATTACAAGAAAATATATTTGGCTTCACACCATAACAAAAAATGACTCATATTTTTAAGTTTTACCTAACCTAGCATATATTGTACGTATTTTGAAAGCACTAGAAAATTCAAATTCTGTTTTCTTACCACCATTGCTTCTAAAAGCTATGAAGTTAAATCTATGTTCTCACAGACATTGCTTTCACTCTCTTTTCTTCTCACATCTTCTACATATGCTTCAAGGAGCCGTCCGCCATTACTGCTTCTCCCCTGTGTCACCTGGTTGCAATGTTAGAAAATTGAAGATTTAACATTCCACCATTGAAGGCCATTCAAAGCTTGACTTTCAAAACTAAAGTTTTTTTTAGTTTGTTAGTTGTTTGGATTGGGTGTTGTTCCAATTGATTGAGAATATCAAAAAGAGTTCAAAATTTAAATTTGAAGTGATTTGGAGTAGATTTGAGAAGGATTTGAGTTAAATTTCAGAAAAAACGCAATGAAGAAGACGAAATCAGTTTTTTGTATAATTATGTATAATCTTGTATAATAGTGTATATGAGTGTATAAACACATCTTATACACTTTTATACACCTTTATACAATAGACGAACTTCTTCCAGGATTTTCAGTTGCAATTCTTGTTCAAAATCAGTCCAAATCTCCATTAAATGACTTCAAATTTATATACAACCTCCTTATACTGTTTCTAACAATTCGAAGATAATACTCACTCCAAATTTCTCACAAAATCAAATTCGGAATCTAAACCCACATATTTAAGCTTGTTAAAAATCTAATTTTCACCATCCAAATGGATTTGGTTTGTTGAACTAATATTTGAGTTACAGTTACTAATTTGAAAATTAACTTAAAAGCTTGAACAATCGTTTTTAAAAATTAAATAGTAATTTTGAGAACCTATTGGAATTGAATATTGAATCTTAGCCTATTATTTTTGGGCTAGTTGGTTGCAAATTGAAATATGGGCTATAAAATGGAAAAGTAGCGATTTCAGTTATTTTTATGTGAAATTTTCCCTATTAAATATCATAAAATGCTAAAAATCCTTTTGATATATGTCAACAATTCCTTTTTTTTTCTTCTTTTTCAATCAAACACCACTACAGTCAAATCTCTCGTTCACAATCTCGTTTGCTCCGAATTTTTCTGGCTTCTACAGAGAAGTGATGTTATAGAGGAGATATATTATAACATAATACAATATTCGAATCTGGAAAAATTCAGCTTTTATAGTGAATGGCTATTATATAAGGGTGTTATACAGAGGTCTGATTATATATAAAAGGAATTTTTACCTTATATAGCAAAGGTTAACACCTTATTTACTTTAAATAAATACCTTTTAAAAAAAATTATATTCTATAGATACCTTTTAATATTTATAGCAAAACATCTAATTTTGGTTACCTCCTACCTCTAAGCCACTAAATATGCTATTCAGTTACATTATTTTCTTTCTCTCTCTACTTTGATACATGCCATTCTCTTCCCCCATTCCCTGAAAACGCGATGCTCAATCTCAAAATTCCTCTCACCCACATCACCTACCATTAGTCATAAACGGTGATTTCAAGTTCACGATATCTCATCACAGTGGTAAAAGGAACGCTGAGAAATCCCACGTTTTGTGTCTCTCATCCTCGTTTTCAATTCACAAGAAGTCACGTTGCAAAATAAGATAAACTAAAGAGAAGAAAGCATAAACAGTATAGCCGATTTACTGGTCTTCTTTTGGCAAAACTTCATGGTCTACTGCTCAAAGCTCTTGTCACCGAGCTATTCTCAAAAGTTGCTGTCTATGTAGATCCGAATTTTGGCTTAGCAAGATTCAGGGTTTTTGCTCGATGACGGATTCGCCGGAAATTAGGGTTTGTTCTTGAACAAAGACGACGGAGTTTGGGGTTGAGCAATTTGATTTTCTGTTAATATATTTCAATGTATTTTCAACGTATCACACTGTATTTTCATGTATTTCATTGTATTTTTTTTCATTGTAATTCAATGTATCTCGCCGTATTCCATGTATTTCATTGTATTCACTGTCTTTTTTTCATTGTATTTCAATGTATTCCGTTGTATTCTATGTATTTCATTGTATTCACTATGATATGTCATGGATGTATTCATATATATTTTTAATTAATATAATTTATGTATTCGGATGTATTATATAATTTCTTTGAAGATTGCTATGTGTTTGGGGTATTTTTCGGTTGAGAATCTTTTTTATAACTGAAAATATAAATTTTGTGTGTTATAATTAAGTTTGTTGAGTTTTATTAGGAGTCTATTATGTTAATTGATTTACTTTTCGTTTAAAAACAGTGTAATCCCCTGTTTCACGCCGTGAATACAGTCAAATACAGTCGAATACAATAATCTGTCCAACTGTAATCCCATGTTTCACGCCATGAATACAGTCGAATACACTCGGATATAACAACTGATTAGCTGGACTTACCTGATTTACGCCTATTTTTGCGACTGTATTCATGAATACAGTAACTTAAATACATCTAATACATCTTATAACAATAGAAAATGTATCTACAATCCGTAATATAGCAAATGATATCTATAAATAGCTAATTATCACTAAAAGATAATGCTTTATGAAAATTTACCACAAATAAAATGTAAAGCAAAGGATGTAGTTATTGATCCTTTTTGAAAATCTGAATTGCACCTACATATGATATTAGCGTTGAGTTAATCATAATAAATGTTGCATGACTATGCCAACTGAGAAGTATGCATCTGATTTTGATAGAAAAGACTTTCTGGATTGGGAGAAGTTGAATTCAATAACCGAAGATTTCGGTTCAGTTGGCATCCATAAATGCTGATTTAGACAGTTTCTCTGCTTCAGCTGCCATTCTTTCTGATGTTAGTTTTAATGACTATCGGTTCAACCTTTTTTTTTTTTTTTTTTTTTTTTTTTTGCCTACATATAAAACCATTCAATTTGGCATTATTTTTTATTTTGACACTTTATTTTTACCTTGTTCCATTTTGGCCCTCCAATTCTATTTTATATGTTCCATTTTGACCCTTCAACTCTATTTCTTATGTTCAACTTTAACACAAAAGCTGAAACCAGTGCAAAAAATATAGCGCGTGTGTATACACAAATTTGAGGTGTAATAAATATCCAATTAAATGTTGTCACCTGATTTTTTCATCCATGTAAAATGGGTCAATACTAAAAAAGCTGAACCCGATCATATTTTTTGTGAGTTTATTTCATCTAAACGAGTCAGGTATGAAATCGGCAGATAAAAGCTTTGGAACTTAGAGAATGAAGATGTGACAACAATGGATAAAAAAATACGGTCGGGTTTGGGTATTTTAGTATTGACCCGTTTGACATGGATGAAAAAACCATGTGGCAACATTTAATTACACACGCTTTATATTTTTTGCACTGGTTTCAGCTTTTGTGTTAAAGTGGAACATAAGAAATAGAGTTGGAGGGCCAAAATAAAACACATAAAATAGAGTTAGATGACCAAAATGAAACAAGGTAGAGATAGGGTGTCAAAATGAAAAATGGTGCCAAGTTGAATGGGTTGCATATGTATTTGGCCTTTTTTATTAAAAATTTTTTTTGGGTCTCTACTCATTTCTCTAAATAGGAGTAAGGGTAGTGTTACACCCCGCAATATTACCATAATGTTACGTCATGCACTATTATATTACAATAATGTTACGCTTTACAGTATTAAATTACGATGATGTTGCACCCTGTAATATTGTACGTTGAATTTGTCGTAAGGTAATTGACATCAGTCCAAGAAAAAGATTATTCGGAGTTTATAAAGATTATGCCATTTCACAAATTATGAGTAAATTCGTAAAGATGAAAGGGGAAACAAGTCAAAGAAAATGAATTTTCGTCCAAGTTTGATATGTTGGGATAATATACGAGCCGAACGTTAATATCCGGTATTTATGGACTAATGTCATACAAGGTACTACATGACTATGATAGTAAGATATATAAGGTGTGTTAAAAGTGAGTAGTATTTTAAGTAATTTGAGATAATTCTTAATTATACGAGTAATTGGTTAATTATTGGGTAATGAGATATTATCCAATTAAAGAACTAATTGGATAAGATGGGAAAAGAGTAACGTGGCGGCAAGCCACTCTTTATCTATATGACTCTTGATAAAATTTTATTAGGTGACAACAATGTGTCAATTACACATTCATTTCCTTACAAGTATTTTCCATATCAAACATTACTATCAAAAGTGACAAAGGGACATTAGCTATTCTGATGAAATTCAACTAAATCTTATTTTCAAGAACACTACACAAAACGATAGACATTCCAATATAGTCAAGTTATTGTGTTGTATTTCGAGCAAGGATTCAAAGATGCTCGTCTATGAGTACATGGTAAATCACAGTCCTGATAGATGGCTTCATGGAAAGAAGAAAAGTTCATTGAATAATAAAGTCATGGATTGGCCACAAGATTGGAAATTGCCATTGGATCTGCTTAAGGACTTTGCTACATGCACCATGATTGTACTCCACCAATCTTTCATCGCGATGTGAAATCCAACAATATCTTGTTGGATTCTGAATTCAAGGCAAAAATTGCTGAATTTGGCTTGGATAAGCTCTTAGATAAGAAAGAAGAGCTTCACACCATGTCTGATGTTCCTGGTTCATTTGGTTATATTGTTCTAGACATGTTAAGCCTATCCCTTCTTTCTTTTGGTATGATCCATACGACATGAACGAAACGTGCAAATGCACAAATTCCATAAATGACTCTATTCATAGAAGTATTAGAGATATCTATGTTCTTGAATTTTCATGTGTCATAATATTTTATCATCTGTTAATGGGTCTCAGAAAAATACGAAAGTTGAAAAGAGTTTACTTTATGATATTACTCAGAGGCAAAATGGTCTTATGACATTCCGAAAGATTTTATTAACGTACTTTTCATGCATTGCATTCATGTACATTGACCCATGACCAGATGACGTTATATACGCGTATATATGTATGTATTTATACATACATGACTAAATTATACAAAACAAGATGAAAAAGAGTACAAGGCCCCCAATTAATGAAGGTTAACAGTGTTTATAATTCAGGCAGAGGAATATAAGCCTTTTGAGTTATATTCAATAGTAACAGAGATATGTATAATTGGTCGTACCCATCTCAATTATGTCCTATGAGGGCTAACAGGTGTAATTTAAGAAAATGACGGAATATCAAGATCTGGATGGGGTTAGAGTAACCCAAAATGGTGAATGAATTGTTTGCGTTAATTTACATTGTTGAAGGATATTGCAGATGTGCTTATAGATCTCCTTGTGAGACACCCATTTGGCACACTCTAAAATAGTACAGGTGGATATGAGTACTATAAAGATAGACACTGGAAGCCTTAAAGGGATAAATGTTATCTTAGTGTGGCTAGCGTCCCTAGTAGAGCAAGAACATTAAGCAACCCAAAAAGCCACTAGATGGAGGAAAGGAGAGATAAAATCAAAAGGATGTCTTGTTCAGGTTTTCAGAATAAAGTGATAGGCATAAATGTTAGCGAGAAATAAGAAAAGAGTAAATGAAGCATTATGAGTAAGATATGATACAAAGATGACAACGGTAGATCAAAAGATGACAGTATTACAGAATCTATAGTCAAGTGAAGGAGGAGATGAGGGGTGACAGGCCTTAGGACAACAAAAGAGTATATGCCACATAGTCATGTCCTCATTTCGAGAAATAAGTTTGCAACTCTAACGCGATTACCAAAAGAAAAAGTTAGACCCCAGAGTAATAGAACAAGTATGAATTGGTGAACATGATAAACTAAATATGAAGTAGGGACCGAGTGATTGATAATAGTCGGCATCACAAGAGTTTCAGATTTCATTCTGGCGATAATAGAATGGACAACAGAAGAAGATCCATGATGAATTCAGAGAATAGTCATTTAGGGAGACGTCTCCCTAAAATAAGCAATATGAGCAAAGTTGAGCTTAAGGGACTGTATGTGACAGTTACACTAAGTGTCACCATCGCGGGTGAGAAATTTTGATATCCTTGGTACAGAAGGATTACCGCAAAGCGAGTAAGGGTCATTGATGATGTGAAAGGATACTAAAGATGAAGAGAAAAAACATCTATAGGCAGGTCGTCATAGCTCCAAGTCTTAGTACTCTCCTAAAGGAGGGAATATGGAATGATAAAGGAAATAAAAATAAGAAAGGGATGAGATTGCACCTATCTAGATGTTACAGATATGCTATGGTTCCAGAACGTTATGTAAGCACGACGTCAAGGAAAAATAAAGTAAGGGTTCTTGCTGCCCGGGATGTTATTGATAGATAAGGAGCCAGTACGTGAGGTAAGTTAAGACAAAAGAAGTAACCCAAGAAAGATTATGCGGAATATAGACATGAGAATGGGCCGACGAGCAGTTAGTGGTTGATTCAAGAAGAGCCTAATCATGACTAGACAAGAAGTTACAGACAAATCAGGAGATCATAAAAGATAAATGTCGTAAACCCCAACATGGAGAATTTAGTCTCGCAGTAATGTCATTATAATACTTGAGATATATTCAAATAGGGGTTGGGGTAGTTAAAGGTACCGTATAAGTGTTACAGGGATAAAAGAAAGTGCCACTGGAAAGGCAGTCAAAATATCAGTTCAGAAGTAACCCTATAAGAATAAGGGCGTGGAGATAAGTAACTACGGATAATTATAGGCAAGGAAGGACATCAGATGGTCCGTCAAGTATACAATTTAGTAGGCTCATAACTTTACAAGAGTCAGAGGGACTTCCCTAAGTACTACGATGAAATACTAGCTGAGGAAAATAGGAAGAGGGCTTCAAGCTCGGCACAATGACCTAAAGAGGAAATGGTCGTGTAACAATAGTCTTAAAACAACATTGTATGCACTCCCTAAGAAAGTGGCACCTACAGTGGATAATGAACATGGAGTAAAATCATAAGTGATATTTAGGATCATATGAGTTGTATGGAATTTCAAATATGTGGGCACAAAGATAAGCTAAGTATGGATGCAACAAGGGGGCAAAAAGATCAGGAAAAGTAATAGCTTACGTTTAAAGAAAGCTAAGATGAAAAAAAGGAATTATTCAATCAATGATCAGAGTTGGTTACGTTATGAACGCACGTAAGGGTTCGGAGTTTTATACATACAACATATACATCCATAGAAGATTCTGGTATATGTTAAAAGAAATAAATAAGCCCAGGTCACAGACAAAGGATTAAGTTGTTAAAGGATTGTATCATGCATATCCAATAGCGCCATGAAGAGCTAAAAGTAATAACTAACACCATGTATCACAGATCGGAAGATAGCTTAAAGCCTACATAAAGGTTGACCAGAGGAAAGAGAAAACTAAAGAGTTACATCAACTAAGTAAATCACGAGTTTGATTATTGAACCCAGAAAATTATGGACATAGTGATTGAGAACATAGCAGAATCACTCTTAATATTGAGGTGCAAAAGAGATAGCAAAACAACCATATTCTATAACGACTCTACGATAAAGTAGGTTAGAAAATACTAGGCTCATAAGAATTCAGTATGGAACTCCCATTGGGTTGTATAGGCACCAGAGGTGCAAGTATTATAATGGAGTTTTAAATTATGGATGTGAATTCTACCTATATGGAAGAAAGGTCATGAAGGAGATAGAAGACATGATACGAAACTTTAAAGTACGTAAGGTAAAGGTAAACGATGTACGAGATGCAGAAGGTTGTGAATACTCCATACTTCAATAAGAAGGCTAAAAGCACGGGGATTCAATATCTTGGATTAATAGCGGAATCGTCAGTAGCATACCCTCCATCCTATGGTCTAGGTATCGAGAAGCCTGATTAAGAGAATAAAGAAGAGTCAGAGACGATGTGATGTCTCGCTTGACATTCCAAAATAACATAAGGAAATCTATGGTGCAAGCAAGTTGAAGAAAGGCTGCGAGTAGTATAAATGGATATGTATAGGTCGCAGACTGAAGTATGGTAGAGCGACAAAGTTTTAAGAATACATGAGTAAGGATAAGGAAAGTCAAATGAAAAGGGGACGAGAATGGATAAGTCCTCGGGATTATGTCCATGAAAACAAGAGAGCTAATGGCTTATCTAAGTTATAGAAAGTTCAGTATAGCCTGAATGAACTCGAAGGAGTCTAAGACTAATAGCATTTAGAAGAAATGAAATGTTGCCCTGTTAATGGAATGAGGGTGTAATTGTGATAAGTAAAGGATAACATTTGTGCCTTCGATTGAGTAATGATTTGAAAACAAAAATAGAAAAAAATGATGATGAGAGGGGGATTTCATGAGTTACACAAGATTAAAATACCCATGTAGGGTGAATCACATTGGGATGCTATGAAATACGATTATGGAAATCACTTCAGATATTTGTCGATGAAACGTAAGCCCTAGTGGCAAGGTACTACGTAAGAAGTTTTAAGTTATCAATAATATATTATAGATCAATATTGAGGCAAATCATAATGGATGGATAAAAGTCACAAAGTATGAGCTGAGATTAGGTCGTCATTCTTAAGATGAACAGTAATGAGGAAGCATTAAAGGACTTATCCTTATGCATATAAGAGAAGTAACGAAAGTAACCTGGAGTTTGATCGCAGACCTCAGTAACGACAAATCGAAGAAAGAGAGATTTAACCTACTTAGATGTAGTAAAGTCATACGAATGGATAATCGAGTCTATGAAATAAGATATAGGAATATTCATAAATTCGACAAAATATCCAGCACGGAACTTTAGTATACCTATAGATTCCCAGAGAGGAATCCTATTAAGCCTTATATATGTTTATAAAGTAAGGCCTAGAGATTGACTAAAAGCTAAAATGAAAAAGGAAAGATGAATCGCTTAAGCACACTTACAAAGCCAGGGTCATACAGGCCGCATGACAGAAGGTAGCAACAGTGGCGAGATAAGAATGATTTCGACCATAAGTCATGATATGAGCAAGAAGACTAAAGGGGGGAATACCCTAGACTTTGGGTTTATTTACAGAGCAACTGCTTAAATGGTAAGGAGAGTATTAAGATATTCACAAGGGCTATAATTTACGAAAATGATAAGAGCATCAGTCAATATTTCAAAGGGGGGAATGATGTTACACCCCACAATATTACAATAATGTTACGCCGTGCAGTATTACATTATGGTAATGTTACGCTTCACAATATTAAATTACGATGATGTTGCACTCTGTAGTATTGTATGTTGAATTTGTCGTAAGGTAATTGATATCAGTCTAAGGAAAAGATTATTCGGAGTTTTAAGGATTATGCTATTTCACAAGTGATGAGTAAATTCGTAAAGATGATAGGGGAAGCAAGTCAAAGAAAATGAATTTTCGTCCAAGTTTGGCATGTTGGGATAATATACGAGCCGAGCGTTAATATCCGGTATTTATGAACTAGTGCCATACAAGATACTACATGACCATGATAGTAATGTGCATAAGGTGTGTTAAAAGTGAGTAGTATTTTAAGTAATTTGAGATAATTCTTAATTATGCGGGTAATTAGTTAATTATTGGGTAATGTGATATTATCCAATTAAAGAACTAATTGGATAAGGATGGGGAAAGAGTAACGTGGCAGCAAGCCACTCTTTATCCATATGACTCTTGATAAAATTTTATTAGGTGGCAACAATGTGTCAATTACACATTCATTTCCTTACAAGTATTTTCCATATCAAACATTACTATCAAAAGTGACAAAGGGACATTAGCTATTCTGATGAAATTCAACTAAATCTTATTTTCAAGAACACTACACAAAACGATAGACATTCCAATATAGTCAAGTTATTGTGTTGTATTTCGAGCAAGGATTCAAAGATGCTCCTCTATGAGTACATGGTAAATCACAGACTTGATAGATGGCTTCATGGAAAGAAGAAACGTTCATTGAATAATAAAGTTATGGATTGGCCAACAAGATTGGAAATTGCCATTGGATCTGCTCAAGGACTTTGCTACATGCACAATGATTGCACTCCACCAATCCTTCATCGCGATGTGAAATCCAGCAATATCTTGTTGGATTCTGAATTCAAGGAAAAATTGTCGAATTTGGCTTGGCTAAGCTCTTTGATAAGAAAGACGAGCTTCACACCATGTCTATTGTTGCTGGTTCATTTGGTTATATTGCTCCAAGTATGTTAAAGATATCCCTTCTTTCTTTTGGCATGATCTATACGACACGAACGAAACGTGCAAATACACAAATTCCATAAATGACTCTATTCATAGAAGTATTAGAGATATCTATGNGATCAACTGGTATACATTGATGATTTTGACCACAGTGACCGAGATGATATAATGGGATGCCCTCAGAGGCTGATGATATTATGAAACATATACCTATATACGACATGACATTCATACGCATATGCATGACACTATAAGTATTTTATGATTTACAAAGTTTTCCAGACTTACAGGTTGAGTCAATTACTCTATATTTCTTCCATGTCTGTTATGTACTTATTTATATGCCTTACATACTCGGTACATTATTCGTACTGACATCCCTTTTGCTTGGGGACGCTGCGTTGCATGCCTGCAGGTCCCGATAGACAGGCCGAAAGCCCTCCAAGTAGGCTATCAACTCAGCGGAAGATGTTGATGCACTCCATTTGCTTCAGAGTTGCTTGTTTGGTTAGTATGATTTAGATGTGTATTGTTTGGTCTGGCGGAACTCTGTCCCGACCTTTATGAAAACGATATATTCTTAGAGGCTTGTAGATAGATGTCATATACGTAGAAGATTGTATGGCCTTGTCAGCCTATGTTCAGTGTTCAAGTGGTTATTTTAGTCTTAGAGGCCCATATGTCTTATGTATATGTCGACATTACTTGTTGTATTCTACCTATTTAACGACAACCTCTCCGACTAAGTTAATTATGATATTATGACATGAAAAGATATGTTCTGTTGGTACTCGGTTGAGTAAGATACCGGGTTCCCGTCGCGGTCCATCGGTTTGGGTCGTGACAAGTAGTTTATGTTGGACACATGCCCATGTTGTCCAGCAAAAGACGCAATGGCCTAATCCTATTTTCTTTTGGTTTTCATTCCTATTCGGAATTGGATTCAGTGTTTATTCCTATATTGAGTGGGTTTTGTCTTTAAGAGAAAACACCACTCATGATCTATAAATAGGACAACCTTGGAGGATTGTTCTATGCTCATTGATATAATTCTTTGAAAGACTTAAGCATATAAGAGTGGTTTTTGAGAGAGCTTTCATCAAAAGAGAAGAGAGAAGAAAAGTATTTGTTTTTTCTGCAGATTTTTATTCCGACCAAACAAACTTCAAATCACGTTTTCCGATTCGTTAACCGTTGGATCGAGATGATAGTTTGATTGAGTGTTTGTAACGTCTTGAACCTTGACTTGAACAGTGGAGATCGAATTTGGAGGCACGTAGCATCTAATTGCGAGCCTCGAATAACAACTTCATTTTTGTAGATTCTCCTCTTTATTCAATTGATTAGTTGTTGCTCTTGTTGCTATTATTGCTCCGTATTTGGCACTTGTTCTGTAGCCAATTTGGAGAACTTTTGTAACTCTCTTATTGTTATAGTGGAGTTTTTGGATCTTTGTGATCCTGTGATTTTTACCTTCGATTCGAAGGGTTTTTCACGTTAAAATTTGATGTTCTTTATCTTCTTTATTTTTTGGGTTTTCCTCTTTCGCGACATATCAATGGTATCAAAGACTTGGTTATTTATCTGGGTTGTTACAGAGTGGAGGTGAATATGAGCAAGATGGTATGTTTAAATGGGAACAATTATATTATTGGGAGAAACAATATTGTTCGAGATGACCTTCTTTTTACTTATGATGAAAACGTTATCAATTTGGTATTCCATGAGACGAGCTGGATAGTAGATTCTGGAGCTATCTTGCATGTCACACCAAGAAAAAACTTTTTCTCATCTTATACTCCTGTTAATTCTGGAGTGTTAAAGATGGGCAATGCCAGTGAAGTTAAGGTGTTCGGTGTTGGCACAGTTTGTTTGAAAACTAATAATAGTTCAATGTTAGTTCTTCAAGATGTCAAGCATGCTCCAGACTTCCCTTTCAATTTGATCTCTGCTGGTAGATTAAACGATGAAGGTTACCATAATGCCCTTTTTAACGGCCAATGGAAGCCCACCAAGGGCTCGTTAGTAGTGGCTCGATGAGCCAAGTCTGATCATTTATATGTGACACAGGGCTCTATTCTTAATGACTCCATAAATCTAGTGTAAAGTGACACTTTATCAAAATTGTGGCACATAAGATTGAGTCATATGAGCGAGAGGGGGATTACGTGTTTGGATAAGAAAAGTTTGCTTTCTGGAGTAAAATAAGCAAATCTGAAAAGGTGCATCCATTGTTTAGCTGGCAAATAGAAAAGAGTTTCCTTTCATAGCCATCCTCCCTTAAGAAATCCCGATTTATTGGAGCCCGTACACTCTGATTTGTGTGGTCCTTTTAAAGTAAAGTCAAAAGGTGGTGCACTTTACTTTGTGACCTTCATTGATGATCATTCTCGTAAACTCTGGGTGTATCCTTTGAAATCTAAAGATCAAGCACTTGGCGTGTTTAAGGAATTTCAGGCCTTAGCTAAAAGACAAACGGGGAAGAAATTAAAATGTATTCGCACTGAAAATGATGGTTAATATTGTCGTCCCTTTGATAACAATTGCAAGGGACAAAGAATTCGTCATCAGAAAACTCCACCCAAGACACCTCAATTGAATGGTTTGACAGGGAGGATGAATATAACTCTAGTTGAGAGAGTTAGATGCATGCTTTTGGAGGCTAAACTTCCAAATACATTTTGGGCGGAATCACTTAACACTGTTGCCTATGTTATCAATTTGTCTCCCGCTGTTGCTTTGGATGGTAATGTTCCAGACAGAGTTTGTTTTGCCAAAGATGTTTCTTATGATCACCTGAGTGTTTTTGTGTGTAAAGCTTGTGTGCACGTTCCTAAAGATGAGAGATCAAAACTAGATGTCAAAACTAAGCAGTGCATCTTTATCGATTATGGTCAAGATGAGTTTGGTTATGGTTTTTACGATCCAGTTGACAATAAACTTATTATAAGTCGTGATGCAAGATTCTTTGAAGACCAGACTATTGAAGATGTTGACAAAGTTGAGAAGACAGATTCTCAGAATAATTAGAGCTTAGTTGATATTGATCCAGTTTCTATTACTAAGGCACTTATTGCACATGAAAGAACCCAAGACAATAATGAAGATATTGATCAAGATCAAAATGATCATCACGGTATAGATGTTATGGATGCTCCAGTTGATGAAGTTGTGGTTTATCAACAACCAATTACTGCTTAGGTAACTACCTCTCTTAGAAGATCTACAAGGGAGAAGCAAAAATCCATGCACTATCCTCCTGATGAGTACGCACTTTTGACTGACATGGGAGAACCTGAGAACTATGATAAAGCCATGCAAGATACTCACAAAGATCAGTGGGTAGAAGGTATGGAATATGAGATGAAGTCACTCCATGAGAATGACACATATCAGTTAGTGAAATTGCCGAAAAGCAAGAGAGCTTTATCTAACAAATAGATATTCAGAATAAAGCAAGATAACCATACCTCTGCGCCTAGGTACAAGCCGAGGATAGTTGTTAAAGGTTTTGGCCCATAAGAAGGGAGTTGACTTTGATAAAATTTTCTCCCCTGTTCTGAAGATGTCTTCTATTTGTGTGGTTCTAGGCTTGGCCACATAAGTCTAGATTTAGAGGTTGAGCAGATGGATGTCAAGATTGCTTTTCTTCATGGTGATTTGGATGAGGATATTTATATGGAGCAGCCTGAGGACTTTGTAGTTAAGCTTGCAGATAAGCATGTGTTTTGCAGAAAATTGGCAGGCATGAAGCATGTCAATAGTTCCTCTACTTGAAGACACATTTAGCCTCTTGGCTGGAGGGGGAGTTTGTTGGGCACATGCCCATGTTGTCCAGCCAAAGGCCAAATGGACTAATCCTATTTTTTTTTGATTTTCATTCCTATTCGGAATCAGATTCAGTATTTATTCCTATTTTGAGTGAGTTTTGGCTTTAAGAGAAGCATCACTCATGATCTATAAATAGGATAATCTTGGAGAATTGTTCTATGCTTATTGATATAAGTATTTAAAAGAGTTAAGCACATAAGAATGATTTTTGAGAGAGCTTTCATCAATAGAGAAGAGAGAAGAAAAGTATTTGTTTTGCTGCATATTTTTATTCTGACCAGCCAATTTCAAATTATGTTTCCAATTCGTTAACCGTTGGATCGGGCTGATATTTTGATTGAGTGTTTGTAACATCTTTGTCTTTGATTTGAACGGTGAAGATCAGATTTGGAGGCCCATAACATCTGATTTCGAGCCTCGAACAACATTTTTATTTTGTGGATTCTTCTCTTTCTTCAACTGATTAGTTGTTGCTCTTGCTATTGTTGCTCCATATTTGAAACTTGTTGTGTAGCCAATTTGGAGAACTTTTGTAACCCTCTTATTGTTATAATGGAGTTTTTGGATCTTTGTGATCCCGTGGTTTTTACCTTCGATTTGAAGGGTTTTCCACATTAAAATTTGGTGTTCTTTATCTTCTTTATTTTCGGGTTTGCCTCTTCCGCAACATAACAATTTATAAATGGGGTAAAAAAATTCGCAGCTGATTAAGAGCCCGTTTGGACATAAGAATTTTTTTTTACTTTTTTTACGAAATCAGCGTTTGTTCATAAAATTTCTAATCTTTCACTTGAAGATGCATTTTGAAAATTTGAAACATTCTAAAAACCTGTTTTTCAAAATTTTCACTTAAATCACTCACAAAATTTTAAGGCAACCCAAAATTATATTCATGTCCAAACACAACTCAAAATTTCAAATATCATTTTCACTTGAATTCTTTTTTCACCCTTTTTGAAATTTTACGATTCTTATGTCCAAACGCCCACTAAAACAGCCTCTTGAGAGGGACCACTCAGAGCTAGGAGTAGGAACCGGTTTGCGAAAGGGTATAATTTCTACATATTATTATCAGTACAGAAGAATTTTTGTACTAGCATGTCTTTCTAAAGTTAATTATAGGTACACACATACTCATAACTAGTGCAGTGAATTACTTGACAAATAAGTTAATTAACCGTCTAAAGAAAATTAAATTAACCTTGTGAATATATCATACTCCATCGTCTCAATTTATATAAAGCTATTTGATTCGGCATGAAATTTATAAAAAAAAGAAGACTCTTGAAACTTGTGATCTAAAAAATTTTATAGATATTTGTATAAATATTTGTGTTGATAATTTGTGGGGCTGTAAAAATTCTAAAAATAAATTATTTCTAAATAAGGAAAGATAACATTCATTTGGGAAGAAGTGACTCAAAAGGAAACAATGCGACATAAATTGATACAAAGGGAGGACTAATATTTTTCAAACAAAACAATTTTTGAGTTGATAAAATTGCTTCAACCATGTGATTGTAACCACCAAAGAATCCAAGAAGGAAGAGTCATCCTATACTGTTATACCTCTCAATAATAATACTCTTATATAACAACACTTCACTATAAAAGTTAAATTTTTTTCGGAATCAATTTTTATGTTATTTATAACAGCATTTCGCTATAACATTCAAATATATTCAGAGCAAACAGAGCTGTTATAGAGAAATTGTAGTGTACTTGACTAACAGTCATATCGAGTCCTTGGAAATGCATTGCTTTTATGATTTTCTTTTCAATTTTGACACAAAAATACAAGTCTGATCAGCTTACTGCCGCTGATCAAGCATACAGAGGTCCGCTTCTTAATGTAATACAAATACGTAGTATAATTAATTGAGGTCACGAAAAAAAGGACTAGCCATTCACTTTTTTTTTTTTTTTTTTTTTTTTTTTTTTTTTTTTTTTTTTTTTTTTTTTTTTTTTGTGCTTTAACTTGTTGAATGGGTATCTTGCAAGGGTCATAGACAGAGCTGTCTATGGCAGTTACAATGCTGATTGATGATTTGAAAATAACTCTTTTGGCTTAATTTCATGGTTACTCATTTAACTTTTATTTTATTTTATTTTATTGCATTAAAATTACTAAATAATTTATTTTGTAGTAAAAAAATCACTCAATTTTGCTCAAGTATCACAAAAAGTGAGGACATATTTTAAGCAAAATTGAGTAACTTTTTGGACGCAGAATATTATTTAGTGATTTCTTGCGATACTATAAGAAATAGTTTAGTGAGTTTTGGTACAATGAAGTTACAATTGACTTACCATCCGTAAAATACAAAAATTACCTCTAACTCTTTTACTAGAGTTGCTTTCAAACGTACAAGGTCCCCGCATTGCATACTCTTATACATTTGCTTCAATAAAGTTGTCTTCATGTTGTCACTACTCGGAAAAAAATAGTTAAACAAGTACTTTTTGATACTTCCTGTTGGGTTCTACCGGTGGCCAAGCCACATGGTCACAACGTAGTGCACTGACCATTCTTCATCGAAAAATTACATTGTGTACAGAGATGGATCCAGAATTTTAAAGTTATGTGTTCCTACACAAATCTTAAGTTAATATACAATAATAACTGGATTGACGGACTGAGTTCCAAGCTAAATATTCTTATATATTTAATGAATTTTTTAATACAAATACCAGATCTAGACAAAAGTTGGTCGGTTCACGGGAGCCCGTATCTAACACACTGGATCCGCCCCTGACTGTGTATGTCACGATCCAAATTCCATATTAGGCCGTGATGGTGCCCAACACCGTTATTAGGCAAGCCAACACTGATCATATAGTAAATCCTCATTTATGTAGTTAGTACGCGATAACTTCCATTATAAATTTAAGAAATTTATAGTTTTAAAAGCTAACACATCATTTAAGTGAAAGCAACAAATGCGAATCTCAATCATGAAGACAAGCCAACACATCATAATTCTACTAATGTGTGTGCCAAGACCTGATGTCACAAGCGTGTGGGCAATCTAGTAGAATATACAAAACCATACTATCCTACTGTTTGGAAAAGAAATAGACAGGAACATAAAGACAAAAGAGAGACTCCAGCTGCTATAGATCGGATGGGAAGGGCAGCTCACCGGATAGTCCCGAGCTGAGATGACCACTCTATGCGCCGGACTGATGGCCAGATGCACCTGCCTCAA